AGTGCAGGGGGCGGGGGCATCCCATGCCCCCTCTGCCCACAGAGCAAGGACCTGCCTGCCATGTGTCGGGGTGCCCCATGGCAGGGGAGATGCGGGACATTCCCCTCTGGCACGTGCACGCACACACCAAGCTGGGAGGCTGAATCCTCCCCAGCACCATGTGCAAGGAGGGGGAAGCTTAACGGCCAAGAGGTGGTTAATTCCTCAAGCAATCCCCTCCCGAGGGTCTCTGCAGCCTGGCTCTACCGGGCAGGACCTCGCAGGAAAGGTAATTCCATTTGAGTGCAAGGGAGCGAGTCCCAGATCCTATTAGGGGCTTCAGGGGCTCTCAAAGGGAGGCACGGCCCCCTCTGGCCTCTTCCCATCCCCCTCCGACCACGTGCCAGCGCCCAGGGGACTCGCACAGGTCTTACGAGCATCCCTCATCTCCCCGGCACAGCCGTGGCCACGGGGATGGTGCCACTTGCCGCGCTCACCCTGTGCGAAGTGCACCGAGCCCGGCCGCCGGCCGGCCACAAGGACCAGCATCCCCATGGGATCTGCTCCCAAGGGGAGATGGGAGCCGGTCCTCTCCACCCGAGGGGGCCAGCAGCGTCCCCTGGGGTGGACCATGCGTCCCGCTGGGGTTCCTCTGCTGCCACCCACCACCACCGAGTTGGAGCTCAGAGTCCAACAGTGCCACTAGCTGCAAAACCCCAGCTCGATCCGTGGGCCTGGCCCCTCTCTCTGCCCAGGACCCCAGTAACCAGCCCAGCCAGATGGCCTCGTACCCAGCTCTGCTCTCGTCAGGTAAAGGAGCTCAAGCAGTTCGCTGGGCGATCGAGACCCACCCCCCCCAGCATGTGCCCGAGCAGGAGGCAGGCACAGGGGCACTTTCGTAGCTCCCCCAGCACTCCGAGTCCCGAGCACAACCCTCCCCTCAGACCCCACCACAAGCAAACCCTGGCTTTAGCAGCATGGGGTCCCCGTGGGACCAGCTCCCTGGGGACACGAGAGTCCGGGACAAGCTCCCTGCGGACATGGGAGCCTGGAGCCGGTGGCACTAGAGGGCATTGCTGCCCTCCACTGGCTCCTGGGCCAGGTGACAGCCTGCTGCTCCTGCCTGCCCCTGCATGGCTTAAAATGGGTGCTGGGTTGGCTGGGGTACCGCAGGGCAGGGACGGGGCAAGACCCTGGAGACACGTGCGCGGCAGGGGGAATGTCAGATGTAACCCGAGCAGTGGCTTCACTAACACCACTCCATCAAGGGGCACCAGCAGCCCCGGCTGGCGGCGGGGCACAGTCCTCGTTCCCAAATTAACCCTGCTCCTCTCCAGCCTTGGCAATAAATCAGTTCACGGTGGGGATCCAGACAGGAAGATGCGAGGAAGCTGTCGCACAAACGCCACTAGAACCAGACGAGATGTTGCTGGAGGCAGCGCCTGTGATCGCAGGCAGCATCGCGGCACGTTGCCTGCCTCCCCTCCTCCCAAGATGCACCGAAGCAGCACCCTTGGGTGCTGTCGGCAGGTCAGCTGCTGCCTCACCCCTCGCTGCTCTTCAGCACCAGAGCTGGGAGCAACCAGCTCCCAAATTTCTCCTGGGGGCTCAGCCAGTGCCGGTCCCCGCTGGGGTCTCCCTACCTCATAAGAGTGGCAGGGATCCTGACCTGCAAGAAGTTTACCCCCTGCCAGCCAGAGAAATCCCCCGGGGACGGTGCTGGGAAGGCATTTTCTAGCTCCCCACATGTTTGGCGCTGGCACCCAACCCCTCTGGCACTGGCATCGCTCTCACCCAGCACACTCGGCGTGAGAACAGGCGAGCTGGCGCCTCCATCCAGAGCAAGCCCGTGACAAGCTCACCCCTCCGGGTCCCCTTCGCCTCCTGGCCCTGGGACGGAGGGCTACGCCACTGGGAACATCGCTCTGCCTGGCAGCCCCAGTGCCGGCAGCCCCATCCGCGGGGCCCCGCCCGGCTGCCCCTCGACACTGGTGGCTGCAGGTCCCCAGGGAGCCTCAGCCCGGTCCCAGGTGCTTGGGGTGGACACAGGAAAGGGAAGTGAGAGGCAACATGCTGAGCTGGCGCCGGGGACGGCTGTGCGAATGCCCTGCCGTGGGGACAAGGTGGTGACAGCAGCGGAGGGGTGACAGAGACGGGACTCGGCACCCACGAGCACGTCCTGTGCTTAGTAGGAGCTGTGCTTCCAGCTGGAAGAGGGGTCCCAGGACAGCATAGTGTCACTTCAGGCTGGAAAATATCTCCAGGGAGAGAGAAAACGCACTGGGGACGCTGCCAGCACTCGTGGGGTAGCAATAAATGGGTGGGGGGTGGAGGAAGGTAACCTGGTCTGGGTGATAAGAAGAAGAGGTCACCCCACCATCACCATCTTCCCTCTCAAAGCTGTCGCGTTTGCCGAAGCTCGCCAAAGCCTGACATCCAGCAGCGAGGGACACTGCCCTTGCCCCAGCCACAAGCAGGTGAAGCTCCCATTCCCTCCTAAGAGGGCAGGTGTGTGCAGGGCACTGGTGAGCAACTGGGATGAGGTTTTAGTCTTTAAGCAGGCAATGCACAGGGAGAGCGACCAGGGCTGGCTCCCAGCCCCAGCGTGAATCATGACAGCCGCTGACCCAAGGAAGCACGCCCAAAGAAGAAAGTGATGGAAAAAGTGATGCGGCTTGTCCAGGGCATCACCATGGGACATGCTGGGATGCTCCGAGCAACGCAAAGGGACTGTCAGCAAGGCCAAGCGGCAACCTGCAGGGCAGAGTTGGGGACAACCAAGCACAACCATCGTACAAGACACGGGAGACAACCCTGCAGAGCAGCCCTGGTCGGAGGGGGATGTACGCAGCACACAGCAGGTGCAGAGAGGCTCAGAGAAGGATCAGGATCACTCTCCCCGGGCCTGTTGGCGTGGGGGGAAGCAGCATTACCAGCGCTGGAATAAAAGTGCATCAGGCTGGTGCAATTAAGCCGGGAGGAGAAAGCAGCTCTGAGCCACCCGAGGGTGTGGGGCTGGGAGTGGGACCCCCGTGAGCACCCGAGCACCCATCACACCCATCACCCTGAGCACAACAAGCCCCTGCTCTTCCCTCTCCATCTCTGTAGCGGAGTGAGAAATGGGTCAGCGATGCCATGGAGCCCCCAAAACACTCCCGCAGCCATCACCGATGCTCGCACCCAAGTGTCCATTAGGCAAAGCGCGGCCACTGCCGCACACTAACGGCTGCCCATAAATGATTCACAAGACCTCTCTCAAGGCTGGAGCCTCGTTAAAAGGCGCTCCTGGTTATTAAGAGCCCCGGATAGGAAAGTCAATCAGTCCAATCACTCTGAGCATCGAGCCCCCTTGGCTCACACCCGAGCAGAGGACCACGAGTGGCCGCCCAGC